GATAGGTAAGTTGATAGATAGGTAGGCAGTCAGTCAGACAGATAGATAGATAGAAGTCGCCTTCTTCTTTTGCCCTCTATCCTTCCCAGCATAAGGCTCTTCTCCAGGGAGTCCTTCTTCCTTCTCATTGGGTGGCCAAAGCATTTGAGTTTCCTCTTCAGGATCTGGCCTTCTAAAGAGCAGCCAGGGTTGATCTCCTCTAGGACTGACCGGTTGGATGGCCTTGCAGCCCAAGGGATTCAATGCAGGAGTCTTCTCCAGCACCAGAATTCAAAGCAATCCTGATTAATTCAAATCAATGAGTTGGTGGGCATCCAATGAAACCCCCCTCCAGAGAGCAATGCTCCTCACCACAGACCTCTCCTTTTCTCCCAGATATGCAAACCCTTCGGACCACTGTGGCCGTTTTCGGGAAGGGCTGCTTAGGTGCCTCGTTCAACTGCATCTATTTATACACTGGAGAACTTTATCCGACGGTGCTTCGGTGAGAGAACAAACCGGGGGAAACCGCAGGGCAGGTGACTGTGAAAAGATAATTTGGCCTCCCATGGAAGGAAAGTGGGTGCGATATAGCTGCTTGTGGGGTTGTCATTGAAAAAAAAACAGGGGTTCAAATTGAACCGAGTATGATACCTCCTGTTCTGACCGAAGCTTCGCAAGAGCAATGAAGCAAACTCCTTGTTGCTCCGACAAAATCTCCTTTTCTTAATTGACTGTGAATTCTGCTCCTTCACCTCCAGAAGAATCTTTCAAGGGAGGATTTACAGTCACAGACCTTATCTGGCTTGGAGAGATGCCAGGGCCATATCTGCAAAACTTGGTCAGGAGTCTCAGAGAGTCATGAGCTCATTAAGCGAACTAATGGTCTCCTGCAAACTCCACTCCCCTTTTGCTCCTCTTTTATTCCCTCTGGGAGGGGCCATTCATCGTCCACCTGCAGCCTTCCTCCCAAGTTGACCCCTGTTCTTTAGCTGTTCTCTTCCTCTGGCAGCTCTGTGCATGCGCACATTGGGAACAGGCCCCAGCTGTTCTTCTGCCTCACTGATGTCTGACTCTGGAGGCAGCTGATAACTGGCACATGGCTCTGGCCCACTCTCCGCCTCCAACACAGAGCCCTCCTCAGAGCCTTCCCCAGACTCCAGAACTGGCCCAGGTTCCTCCCCAACCTCCTCACGGTCCGAATGCTGGCTGCTGGTTGGCCACAACACCTCCATGAGTTCAAGCAGCATGATCAATCCCTTTTGTTTGGTGTCTACCTGTGCAGGCAAACCGGTATGGGTCTCAGCAACACCATGGCCCGCATCGGAGGCATCGTGGCTCCGGCAGTGAAGATGACAGGAGAATATATCCCATTCCTGCCCAATCTTATCTACGGTGCGGCTCCCATCATATCTGGAATCGTGGCAGCCTTTTTGCCAGAAACTCGCAACATCCCTTTGCCGGAAACGGTAGAGCAGGTGGAGAACAGGTGAGAAAAAACTGTGGTCCCAGATTTTTTTGCATTGTTCCTGAAACCCGGAAAGACCTTCTCTTTCCCATGCTGATTCCTCTTCTTTAGCATGAAAGCCAATTGATGGGTTGAAGGATTTAAAATAATAACAGCAACAACCTATATCCTATTAAAACTCTGATTGCCATGACCTTTAACTGGTGCATGATAGTTTTTGAAGCAAGGTGAGAGGTGGGTTGCTACCAGTTTCGCACCTATTCGGTAGAACCGGTTCGTCAAATCTACCGAACCGGTTAGAAGAAGTTCCACCAGTGGACCCGGAAAGCAGGCCACACCTACAGAAGAGGTTCCAAAAATTTTTGAAACCCACCACTGGTGGGTGTGTAATGTCCCGCAGTTATCTACGCATTAATCATGATCTAGTAATATTTCCTTATACATTTTAGGGACCTTTCCTTACATAATTGGTGTTTTCTTTCATACTTTTGGATTTCTAATTTCTGTTTCTGTTAGTTGGCAATTGCTAAAACCAATCCCACATGAAAAAGTATTCAAAGCCTTCTTGATTTTAATTGTCAATTTATTTATTCCTGCACGTTGTAATATTTATTCATTTACATATCTCTGTTTTTCCACTCTTGTGCAAACACAATTCCAGCAGCTGCTAAAATGTGTAAAATTAAATATATATTATAATCCCTTTCAAATAGCCCACAAAATATTTCTGGTTTTGATTCCATATCTTGCTTTATGATTGCTTCTAACCACTAACTTCTGAATAGCTACTTGGACCGACCTAAGTACTAATTCATAATTTCATATCCGGTCACAGGGGCGGCAAGCCACTCCCATTCGGTCACATGGGCAGCAAGCCACTCCCATCCAGTCGCATGGGTGGCAAGACACTCCCACAAAGGAGGCCACACCCACAGAGTAGGTTCCAACAATTTTTGAAACCCACCACTGAACAAGGTGCTTTAAATAGGCTAACTTACACAGAATGCATCCAAAAACCAGGACCCCAAAGTCTTGAGGAATGAAATTTGGGGAAAGTTTTAGCTGCTTTCAGAACTACTGACTGCTGCTGCATTGCAGGAACTTAATTGTTCTGTGACAGTTTCCCAGGCAGTTTAGCAATCCCTTGCTTCCTTCCCACTTGACATCAGCCTCTTATCTGTCTGCTGAGCAGGAACGGGAAGGGAGGGAGGGAGAAAAGGGAAGGAAGGGAAGGAAGAATGGGAAGGAAAGGGAGGGACGGAGAGAGGAAGTGAAGGAAGGAAGAAAAGGAAAGGAAGAAAGAGGGAAGGAGGCAAGGAAAGAAAGAAAGAAAGGAGAAAGTGGGAGGAAAGGAAAGGAAGAGGGAGGGAAGGAAGAAGGAAGGAAGGAAGGAAGGAAGGAAGGAAGGAAGGAAGGAAGGAAAGAAAAAAAGGTAAAGGGGAAGAAAGGGAAATAAAGAGGGAGGAGGGAAGGAATGGGAAGGGAGGGAGGGAGAAAAGGAAAGGAAGGGAAGGATGGGAAGGAAAGGGAGGGAGAGAGGAAGTGAAGGAAGGAAGGAAAGGAAAGGAAGAAGGAGGGAAGGAGGCAAGGAAAGAAACAAAGAAAGAAAGGAGAAAGTGGGAGGAAAGGAAAGGAAGAGAGAGGGAGAGAAGAAGGAAGGAAGGAAGGAAGGAAGGAAGGAAGGAAGGAAGGAAGGAAGGAAGGAAGGAAGGAAGGAAAGAAAAAAGGTAGGGGGGAGAAAGGGAAATAAAGAGGGAGGAGGGACGGAAGGAAGGAAGGAAAGAAGGAAGTAAACAAGTAAGCAAGCAAAATTTCCAATGCTGCCTGCCAGATTCCCACAGGGAAATTCAATGGGGAAGCCAGCAGGAAGCCGAAAATCTCTCCTACTCCCACTGCTTCCCCCGCCCCATCTTGTTCATGCTGTTTAGGGAAAGAACCTATCTTTGAAATGATGGCCAAGTTCTCCAGATTTGGAAAGCCAAGAATACATTGATCAAACCTCCCCTGTCCGAAGCTTAAAACCAACTAACATTTCAGTAATGCAGCTGAGTCAACGGCTTGTTCGCCCACTGAGTTGGTGAAGCCTCTCTGAAAACCCATCAACACTTAATGGCATCGTTGGTTTTTCCCCCCCTTCTGCACAGATCACGGAATAAGAGTCAGAAGCTGGACTCCCAGCAAACCGAGGGCCTCTTGCTCTCCAGCAAGCCCGAAAGCCAGAAAACCAGCGCTTAAAAGGAGAAAAAAATATTGATTTTAGGACCTCCCTTTGCACGAAGATCTGTGAAGACCAAGGACGGTGTCACACTTGGGAAGAATCTATTCTCCTGAGTATAGAAGCAGCCACGAAGATGAAGGAGACTAATCCTATTCTGGATTTACAGGGAGGGGAGGAGGGAATTAGAAGCCGTTTGGAAGATATTCTACTCTCTGTACGTTCATTCTGTCTGATGTCTTTTTTCTTTTAAAAAATAATAATCTCAATCCGCTTGTTTGCAAAGCATGGCCACATCCCCTTAATACACTAGCCCAAGCAAAAATTGGCAGGGCTATCAGATAGTTTAATGCAGGGGTCACCAACCTTTCGGACCTCAGGGACCACTAAATCAGTGTTTCTCAACCTTGGCAACTTGAAGATGTCTGGACTTCAACTCCCAGAATTCCCCAGCCAGCATTCGCTGGCTGGGGAATTCTGGGAGTTGAAGTCCAGACATCTTCAAGTTGCCAAGGTTGAGAAACACTGCACTAAATTCATAATTTTAAATCCCACGGACAATTAATATGATCTGCCTAATGATCGGCTGGGTGGGCGTGGCTAGGTAATCATGTGACTGGGTGGGCGTGGGCAAATTCATGTCACTCATGTCAAGGGGCGCCTCGCCAGCCTCTACTCGCCTCTCCCCTCCCAGCCCCTCCTCGCCTGCCTGTCTGGGCTCCTTAGGGCCCCAACAGGAAGCAGTTGCCGGAGCTAAGCAGCCACCCGGAGAAAGAGTTGGCAAAACAGCTCAGTTCAAATTGGATCTGGCCGAGAAGGAGGCTCAGCAGAAGCACCTCACTGAGGACTAGGAGCATGGGCTTTCCAAGCAGAGGGAAGACCTGCGGGAGTGCAAGGCCAGGTGCCGGCGCCTGGAAGCTCAGTGGGCTGAGATGGTCAGCCAGTTCCAGGCCGTGATGCTGTCCCACTGGAAGGAGGCCCTCCGGCTCTTCGCCACCAGTGGCGCTTCCCTCCAGCCTTCGCCCAAAGCCCCCCACCAGGAAGCTGAAGCAGACCCCAAGTTCAAATTTCTGCCCCCCTCCGACCTCCATAAAAAGACCCCAAAGAGGGAGACTATCTGTAGAAACACAAGCGCGTTCATTGCACATATCTGGCCCAGGGGCCGTAGTTTGAGGACCCCCGACTGAGTGCAATATCAAAAATGCAAATAATTTAATTTTTCAACATTTTCTTGCAGACCACCAGTGGTCCACGGATCACCAGTTGGTGGCCGCCGGTTTAATGTGTCACCCAACCCATATCATAGCCTGTTGATGAAGGAGAGTAACTTCTTAAACTTAATTAAGAAAGTCTTAAACTGATAATATAAATGATGGTCGTCAGGGGGCAGCAGTGAGATACAGGAAAAATTAATTTTGTCTTACACTGGATCCGTGTTTCTCAACCTTGCTAACTTTAAGCTGGGTGGACTACAACTCCCAGAATTCCTCAGCCCGCATTCTTTAAGATTACTTCTGTGGACTACAACTCCCAGAAATAAACCTAGCCAGCTGAGGAATTCTGGGAGTTGAAGTCCACCCAGATTAAAATTACCATGGTTGCGCAATACTCCCCTAGATCACTTAGCCCCTAAAACCCTAAATTATAGTTTCTTTCTTTCTTTGTTTCGTTGCTTATTGCAACTATGTAGAGACAACCTAGGTTTCATTAAGCTAGGCATAAGTATAGACTGTTCTATGCAATAGAATAGAATAGAATAGAATAGAATAGAATAGAATAGAATAGAACAGAACAGAACAGATCAGGAGTAGAATATCAGATTAAAGAATAAAATAGAATATATAGTAGAGTAGAAATAGAATAGAATAGAATAGAATTAGAGTAGAGCAGAACAAAATAGAACAGAACAGAATAGGAGTAGAGCAGAGCAGAGCAGAACAGAACAGAATAGAATAGAATAGAATAGAATAGAATAGAATAGAATAGAATAGAATAGAATATATAGTAGAGTAGAAATAGAATAGAATAGAATAGAATAGAATAGAATAGAACAGAACAGAACAGAACAGATCAGGAGTAGAATATCAGATTAAAGAATAAAATAGAATATATAGTAGAGTAGAAATAGAATAGAATAGAATAGAATTAGAGTAGAGCAGAACAAAATAGAACAGAACAGAATAGGAGTAGAATATCAGAATAAAGAATAGAATAGAATATATAGTAGAGTAGAAATAGAAGAGAATAGAACAGAATTAGAGTACAGCAGAACAGAACAGAACAGGAATAGGAATAGAATAGAATATATAGTAGAGTAGGAATAGAATAGAATAGTAGAGTACAGCAGAGCAGAGCAGAACAGAACAGAACAGGAATAGGAATAGAATATATAGTAGAGTAGAAATAGAATAGAATTAGGGTAGAGCAGAATAAACTAGAATAGAATATCAGAATAAAGAATACAATACAATATATAGTAGAGTAGAAAGAATAGAATAGAATAGAATTAGAGTACAGAACAGAACAGAACAGAACAGAACAGAACAGAACAGAATAGGAATAGGAATAGAATATATAGTACAGTAGAAATAGAATAGAATAAAATGGAATAGAATTAGAGTAGAGCAGAATAGAATAGAGTAGAATATCAGAATAAATGATAGAATAGAATATATAGCACAGTAGAAATAGAATCGAATAAAATGGAATAGAATTAGAGTAGAGCAGAGCAGAACAGAATAGAATATCAGAATAAAGAATAGAGTATAGAATAATAACTTTATTGTCACGTTTAAATATACACTAATAAACATACATTAAAGGGTCACCACCTACAATATGTACTACATAAACATGACAAAACAAATTATGCACACACACAAACACACACACACACACGTGAACCAGAGAAACAACACAGTCTAGTTGGGATGTATACAGGTGCATGGTGAAAAAAAAAAACCTTGCGAGTTTACCTGAAGGATGGACTAAGGAACAAAATGGTTACAGGATCTGCTAGTCCTGCTGGAAACCCCAACTCAACGTATCTACCCTGGATAAAACATTCAGGGGCCCAGCTCTGCTCTATAAAATGAATTAAAGTCCAGAGTTTGGACTACCGATATACATCTGCTTTCATTTTCTCTGTTCACCATTCTGGAGTCACCCAGCATGCCTCATCAGAACAATCAAATCCTGGGTGCAAACGTGATCAAGCCAGCCGATTTAAATTTTAACTCATGGCATCAAATGGTTCGTTCCCTCACCTGGTTAAATGCAAATAAACCCAGTCTAGATAAAACAGGCCATTGGGATACAATCAAGATCAAGGGAGGTACTAATATTACTCTATAAAACCTTAGTGTAAGTATAATCTTTATTGTCATTGTACTTAAATACAACGGAATTGGTTCGAAATTAGTAAGGCCACACCTAGAGTATTGCATCCGGTTTTGGTCACCACACTATAAAAAGATGTTGAGACTCTAGAAAGAGTGCAGAGAAGAGCAATAAAGAAGATTAGGGGACTGGAGGCTAAAACATGACGATGAACGGTTGCAGGAACTGAGCATGGCTGGTCTAGTGAAGAGAAGGACCAGGGGAGACACAGTTTTCCACTATTTGAGGGGCTGCCACAGAGAGGAGGAGGTCAAGCTATTCTCCAAAGCACCTGAAGGGCAGACAAGGAAGTGGTGTATGGTCTCCTGCTTGGCCAGGGGGGTGGGGGTTTGGACTAGATGATCTACAAAGGCCCTTGCAAGTCTGTTAATCAGTTAAAGTGAACTTTATAATGGCTTGATAAGGCCACACCTAGAATCCTGCGTCCAGTTTTGGTCACCACACTATAAAAAAGATGCAGAGAAGAGCAACCAGGATGATGAGGGGACTGGAGGCTAAAACATACGATGAACGGTTGCAGGAACTGGGCATGGCTGGTCTAGGGAAGAGAAGGACCAGGGGAGACAGGAGAGCATCTTCCAATATTTGAGGGGCTGCCCCAGAGAGGAGGAAGGGGGTCAAGCTATTCTCCAAAGCACTTTTGAAGGCCAGATAAGGAACAATGGGTGGAAACTGACCAAGGAGAGATTCAACCTGGAAATAAGGAGGAATTTCCTGACAGGGAGAACCATCAACCCATGGAACAGAAGTTGCCTTCGGACGTTGTGGGAGCTTCATCCCTGGAAGCTTTCAAGATGAAACTGGACTGCCAATGGTCAGAAATGCATAGGGTCTCCTGCTTGGGTGGGGGGTTGGACTAGATGACCTACAAGGTCCCTTCCAACTCTGTTATTCAGGTGCTTTGGAAAATAACTTGATCCCCTCCTCTCTGTGGCAGCCCCTCAAATACTGGAAGATTGCTCTCCTGTCTCCCCTGGTCCTTCTCTTCCCTAGACCAGCCATGCCCAGTTCCTGCAACCGTTCTTCCTATGTTTTAGTCTCCAGTCCC